CATTTCTATCAATAGTACCACTATTATTATTGATTTACTAGTTGAGTACTTAAGAAACCAGAGGATCAATTTGGGAATAAAATGGTGGGAACTAATGAAAAGGTTTTCTTTCAAAATAAATGCTTATATAGGAAAAATGTTTCTTAATTCATCATCTTGAAAATATAATAAATATATACTTCATAATATCAATCAGTAGCTTATTACTCTTAAGAATAATATAAAATAAATGAATCTTCCAAATTTATTAATTCATTTAACTATGCGTTGATTATTCTAAGTACTATTTTTGACACTGATGTTTCAATATCTTAACAATAAAAATTCAATTGATTGATGGACTATATATTTATTCTAAATTTCTTCAGAATAAAATTAGCAGGTAAGACTAGATGAATATTGTTCACAAGGTTCATCATATAAATTATGATGTAATATTAAACATTCTAGAACTCTAGAATAAATCTATCTATTTAGCACTGTTATATATAAATGGAATACAAAAAAACCTAGAAACATGTACTATCATATTTAAAATATCCTATATTTAAAGAAGCATCACAAATCATTATATATGGGAGGAATTAGTTGACAATGCAGAAACCATTAATGGTCCACATTTATGTTGTGGCCCTAGAGTATGTATAATTTCCTTTTATTTTTTTCAGGCAACTTAGATGTCATAGTAATTAAACAGGTATCTTCTCAGTGAGCTCAACTCTCATCCTCATTTCAGAAGACTCTAAATTTCTTTTTTTTAATTTTTTAATATTTATTTTTTAGTTCTCTGCGGACACAACATCTTTGTTTGTATGTGGTGCTGAGGATCGAACCCGGGCGGCACGCATTCCAGGCGAGCACGCTATCTCTTGAGCCACATCCCCAGCCCAACTCTAAATTTCTTCCAACCTTGTCATCTTCTTTTCAGATCGCTGGAAGAAGAACAGAAAATATAAATCTTCAATGGGTCCAGGATAAAAGTGGCAAATATCATTCCTGCTTATGGTCCATCAGCTAAATTTTTATTACCTGGCTACAGGGCAAGGAATACTTGAATTGTATTCTGAAGATCTGGTTATCAGTTTTCATCATAAGTGGATGAAACTTAGGTAGCCACATCAAATAGTATGCAGGAGAAAAACTAGCATGTGTGCTTGACAGAGCAGACTTTGGAGTCCAGCAAAAAAAAGTTAGAATCAAAGTGACACCATTTCCCTATGAATGCAGCATGTATAAAATGTTTAGTTTTATACCTACTCCATGGAATTGGTGACAAGATTAAATGAGGTAGACGATTCAATAGGCTCACAATAGGACCCAGCACATGGTAATTGCTAAATAATTACTAGTTGGCTTTATTAAATACAAATAATTTTTAGTTATTGAGACTGGCACATGAAATGAAGCCTGTTTATCATCCCTGTATAGGACAACAAAAGCGTCAACAAAAAAAAATTTCTTCTTCAAAAATGCCATATGCTATTCAAATTGATATATATATATGATTTGTGATGCTTCTTTAATTATAGACTGTTTTAAAAAGGATAGTATAGTTTTCTAGGCTACCTGTATTCTGTTTATATTAATATCAGTGCTAAATTGATTAACTTTTCCTAGCATTCTAGAATATTTAATATTAGATTTTAATATATGTGTATCTTAAATATAAATGTATATAATATAGATATGTGATATATGCATGAATATATATTATGTTTATATTTATATGTATATGTTTATATATAGTATATATAAAATATGTACATACACTATATAACATATACTATATATGTTATATAGTATATGCTTATATACATATAAATGTTTGTATTACACAGCACATGGTAATTGTTAAATAATCATTAGTTGGCTTTACTAAATAAAAATAATTATTAGCTATTAAGACTGGCACATGGGCTGGGGTTGTGGCTCAGTGGTAGAGTGCTTGGCTAGCACGTGCGAGGCACTGGGTTCACTCCTCAGCACCACATAAAAATTAATTAATTAATTAAAGGTATTACTACAACTAAAAAATAAATATTTTTTAAAAAAGAATGGCACATGAAATGAAGCCTGTTCCTCGTTGTTCTAGTCAGATCTTTCAGTCACAACAGTGAAAAAGCTGACAAAAACAAAAAGTGACATGTATAGAGATAGGAATAAAACTGACAAGGTATTTAAAATAAAGAAAACTTTTGTATAAAATTAAAGAATATGTATTAAATGTATATATCTATATGTATATAATGTGTATACAAATGTATAAATGTCTATATTTGTATATAATTTGTATATATGTGTATATATACAAATACATTTATGTTTATATTTATATATATATTTATATACACATTTGTATAAGTGTATATACATATATATGTGTGTGTGTGTGTGTGTGTGTGTGTATGTACACATCCTTGCTTTCTTACACATATATGGAGAGAGCAATTTTTATTAAAATCCTCCTGGATTTCCATAAGGCTTTCAATCTAAGAGCTGAGCAACAAGGTAGAAATGTATGATATAAACCATGCCACTTGAGCTATGACTAAAGCATTTTGCTGGAATTATCCATAGTTACATATCTTGTAAACAATTACCTAGACATATATATCAAGTTGAAAATCACACCATGTCCCCTCTTCCAATTTAACAATCTCATAACTGAACAATTATTATAATAGCAGCCAAACTATCTTCTTTCTTATCGATTAAACTGAATTAGAAAACCCACCTTGAATAGATGCAGAGTCAAATTAGCTAAAAATTCTTTCACCACTGATTTGAATTCACCATCAGAACCACAGGACCTTCAGCTCCTTTTCTCCAATGCTCATCCTTGCTTTCTTACAGAGGACTGACTAATCAGAAAGAGATGGTTGGAAAAGCAATTTTTCTTATTGGTGCCATAGAAAGGATAGTGGGGAAAGGAAGCAAATAGTTCTTCCTATAATCCCCCATGCCAGTGACTTAAATATGATTTATATAATCATGTGAATATTGAAAAATATAGTGGTAAGCATATTACATTTTCATGTAATAACACAAAAATGTTAATATTGATGCTTCAAAAAACAATATAATTCAAAGTGAGTCTAATCAATGAAATCCTTTTTTTCAAAAGGTGAAAAAGAAGTAATAGAGGGTAAATCAACTCAGAAACAGGATCAGGTAAAACTGATTAAAAATAAATATGACAAATATCTGAGAGGTAGATTGGTCTATAAGGTATACATGGGTTATCTCTGTGACTGTTATTTTAAATCAATATAATATTAGAAATGTTACTTATCAAAACTTTTTCTATTATTAATATTATAAGAATATATTAAATAATACATTTATTATTAAGTTAGTAAAATGCTCTCTATTAACCTTCAGAAACTATTTTCACAATTTTTAAGTTCTTCAATAAGTACATGAGTTAGATAACAACTAGTTTTGATAAGTAACAGTTCAAACATGTACTTGTGTCATTTGGTTCCCTCCTAGATTTTGGAGATCTTGCATAAGTTCCTCTTTCATTGTCTTTAGTTTTTTAACTAGATCTTGTTTTTCACAGAGTTCAATCATAATTGACCATTGGCTTTCTATCTCCCCCATACTATCTTTATGTGCTTTTATTTTTGCATAATAAATCTTATATTTTATCATGTGCTCCTGAAAATCTTCTTGGGAGATTTTGATATCAAACTTAAGCTTCACATTGTTGGTATATAAGGACTTGTTTTGAGATTCTAGGTTTCCACATTGAAGTCTGGAATTCTCTATGGCAGCATCCTCCTGATAAATTTGCCTCTCCGTTACTTTAGTTTCTGCAGAGACAGCTGCTATTTGTTTTTTAAGCTCATGAGTCCATTCTGTAATATAGTTCAACATTATCATTATTAATTCATGGTATTTAGCATAAGAGAAAAGTAATTGTTTTGATCCATAATGCATGTAGGAAAATCACTTAACATAAAAAAATACATTTATGAGATATAGAAAAAACCTGATGCATAATAGAAGGAAATATGTAATAATGTAACAATTACGTTCTAAAAAAGATCCCAGAGTTATATATTTCTTACTTTTTAATGTTCATCTAATTCTAAATGTTAAAATTTCATCATTTTGTTTTAACATTTTACATGTAAAAATACTTAAAATCGTTTAATAATATATTTAAAGAATATAAAAAAGAAATGTTACTAAGAATAAGATATTTTTTAAAAGTACATTGATGATTCTACTAATTCAAATGACAGCATTGTATTCAGTTTTGACAAGTAAGTACAAAACAACATGTGGAAAAATAGGAAGTTTCCATAGAAGAATTTTTTTTATAAAGAAAAAATGCTACACAGAAATGTTGAATAATTGAAAGAGCACATGTATGCTTTGAAACACTGAGATTTCAGATTTGGATTGAAATATTATCCACATGATATATAAGTTGCGAGACCTTAACCTTGCTGGTTGACCTGGCTTCATCTCCTTACCTTGTCTGTGAAATGAGCAATTTCACAGGGCTGTTGTGTTACAATACATCACATCATGTCTGCCCTATGATAACCACTCAAACATATATAGTTCTCCTGCTCCCTGGGAAACATATTGAAAAAGAAAGTCTGAAGGAAGAAATTCATTTGAAATGATTTCAAATGAAAAGAAGTGACTTAGCCTGCTTTTCCTTCCAGCAAACAGTTTCTTTCTACCCTGACAAGTCTACAGTGGAACAAATAACCTTAAATTGCATCAATTTTCTTTTTGACTTCCTGAGAATTTAATACTGGAATAGGTCCTAGATCTTAGTGTCCAAACCAGGAAATCATGCAAAATCATTATAAATATATCTAATCTCTTCTGTAAGAATTTGAATCTCAGATGTGTTCTACATGGTTGTACATACTGTCCCTATCCCTTTATCCTGACACCAAACTATCCAAAATATTCTCTGAAATACACTTGTTAATGTATTACACATCTTAACTCCTAATAAATGTTTATTTTTGTAGTTTTTACAACTGGGACAGTCATACTGCTGTTTGTAACTCCACTCCCAATTATCAAGTGATTGCTGACAATCCAGAAGGCTTACTTTTCAAATATAAAAGAGACAGAAAAATTCTCAACGTGGACCCAAAGGTAATTCTGATTTACATTTATATATCTCTTTAGATTTTATTGTATTTTTATTATAATTCAAAAATCTATTACATATTTGACACCCTGGAGTATTTTTAGATCAGAAACAAAATCTCCTTTGAAACATAGAGCTCATACTCTTTTAATTTTTTTTTTAAAAAAACCTCCAAGGCTTAATAAATGATCAAAATTAGTAAGAAAGAATTTGTGGGGAATCTACCTAGACCTTAAGAGTAGGAACAGTTCATGTCTTGCAGCAGGATTAGATTAGGGAGCCAATGGTCATTGTATCTGTTTAATCTGGAGATGTCTGATCACTTTTTGCTCTTAGTGGGGAGGTGAGTTATTTAGGGAAGAGGGACTCTCACTTCACAATTGTACCCTACATTCTAATATCTCTCAGTATATGTAACTAATACTGAAAATAAATATGCCATTAGTATATTTCTAAGTGTTAACTTATTATTATTTTAATATGTGACCCAAGATATTTTGAATTTATTTAGGGAAATATATTTACATTTTACATATTTTCAAAGACTGCAATTCTATCAGAACTTTGTATCATGACCTGTCATATGTCTAGGGATGAAAAGTTGAATCATTATGTGCTTGGTTTGTTTATGGGTTTTCTTAACCTTTGAAAAATATACTATTCACTTTCAAATGACAAGATCAGTCTAAAATCCAGACAGGAAATATTCCTTTTAAAGTGAAGAGGATAAGAATTTTGTGATATACACAGGATAGAGGCAAAGATGTTCCAAAGGAAAGGGGGATTTGGGTTCTCAAATCTTTTTCCAAAGCTTTTAGAGATTCAAATTTAAAAAAAAATAATAATAAAAATCTTTGTTTCATATCCTCTTAGTACAATTCCTGGCACATAAAATGTGCTCAATAACTGAGTCCAAAGAGTGAATGAAATTCTATAGCAAGAAATAGGTTATTGTCTGCAATTCAACAGATTACTGCTGCAGATTCCGCTGCAAGTATCATAAATCCCAAGATAGTCATTTAAACATGTTAGAAGCTTCTTTCTCTCCCATATGGGAATCTAGATAGTAGCATCCAAGGTTGGGATGGCAGATCCAAGATCATCTGGATCAGGGTGGCCTTCATTCTCAGAAGCCAAATAGATTTCCAGCCAAAACAACCACATTCCAAAAAGAACACACAGGGCAAGGCAAGAAGATGCAAAAGACATGCCCTTCCTGCCTTTTAAGCTTTCCCCAAAAGCTACCACACAAACATTTTCATGTTCCATTGCATGAGCTTAGCCATATGGCCATGTCCAGTGATATGCATGATTGAGAAGTGTAACCTTTCTTCAGGTAATCATGCAGCCAGCTAAAAAGCAGGAGTTCTGAAACCGGGAAGGGAAAACGTTTGGATGGACGACTAGCAGCTGCTAACCCAATGCTATCTCCTTTGAAAGAACACAGATCATTTTCAGTCTTAGGTTTCTCATTGGTAAAATAAAGTCCTAAATCACATTTATTATGAATCAATGAATACCAAAAAAGTTTATCAATACACCTTCTCTCTAGTAGTACCTCTTTGCTTATGGGTTTAAGTCTGTGATCTGTTGGGGCAAGTACAGAAAACTTAATAAATAGCATTCACAAATTAGTTTCCTTTTTAAAGCTAAACTAAATACAAGAAGAAGTTTAAAATTATTAGTTGCCTCATTAAGGCGTGTGAAACAGCTTTGAATCCGTTTTGAATGACATCATATTTACTCTACTTTAGGCTCAGTTTTAACTAATGGCATATGTGAAGCATGTATGTCCTGAATAGTAATTTTTGTGAACTGTGGGGAACCATTACTAAATACAAACTATTACTTGAGTATGATTCAAGTAATTTAATTAAAATGATCACTTTCAAAATAATCATGACGTCTCAAAGATTATGTTAACAATGACTAAAATGTAACATTTCCTCTTTTTTCTGGAAGAAAGTAAGTTGAATTTGAAGGAAAATTTTTCTAAATCTTAGAGAAAAAACAAGGTTTTTGTTAATGAGTAACAAGAGTAAACAATTATTCAGCCAGACACCTGAGGCTATTTGGATATTTTTTTAAAAATTGTATTCATGATAGTTTTTAAATTTTACTTTAATTTTATTATTTTTGAAAATAGAAATTAAAGACAGCCTTTCTGGAAAGAAATTCTAGTCTCAGCATTAGAAAACATATTTTTAGGCCTTAACTTACTACTATTAATTGTTTGCATGGCTTTGATAAGTTCACTTCACATTCATGGGTTTTTAAAAAATGTTCACAACTGTAAGATAAGGATTCATTTATTTGTTTGTTTCTTTCATTGGTTTGGTTTTTGGCTTTTCTGGTTTCTGGAGTCCTTCTAATGTACCAGGCTCAATTTTCAAAGATTTAGTCTCAAATGAGCCCTGAAGTACATACTTTAACATGAAATTATTGTGATTTTACTACAAATTGTCTATGAACTGCAACTTAAGGTTACCTTCTCCATAAGAAGACAATAACTTTCAGAAATCTGGCACTCTGTTCTCAAATATAAGTAAACTAACATTTCTCGATTTTAACTTTTGTGGACTAAATATAAAATTAGCATGTGCTTTTCTCACATAAGTTCTTATTTACCCTCTTCAAATATCTCTGATTGTTTTTTTGAATTTTATGCATCCAACACATTTTTTATGGACCTATTGGAAAAAGAAATAATCTCAAATGTCTATTTTTAAATAACTGCAAGTGTGAAGAATTACATTTCTATACTCACTTTTAAAAATAATTTTGCCAAAAATTTTTCCTAAAACAAACATCTTCTTATAACTCCAACCGTTGGAGTACTGTAAAATATTATGAGAACAATACAACCCAACCCTCCTTTTCTTTTTCTTCAAGATTTTATGTTTAAAATTAAAGAGGTCAAGATAAATGAAAGGTGGAAATAATGGTAAACAGGATGTGTCTCCTTTGTACAATACAGATGCAGACTCCTTAATTCTGAAGTGTAGTTCCCATGAAACAGTTGTTTGTGAATGGTAACAGTGGAAAAAAGAAAATTCTGCAGGTCTTAGAACAAGTAATATGAGTTCATTGGTTAAGAAATTCCAAATGCAATAAGAGTTTGGTTGCATTGAAAAACAGGACCACTGGTTTTAACTTCCCTGCAGCTGTAGAACATCTGGAACAAATAAGACAAGTTTCTATTTTTGAGTGAAGAATGCTTGTCTGAGTGATTCACACCCACCAAAATGTTTCCAGTGTATTATCTTTAGAGGGACTGAGTGGGAGCACTTCACACTCACTCCCATATAGTATCTGGACTAATGGAAAAAATATCATTTCTCTTTTACTTTAAGGAAATATTAATCATGGGAGAGTCTGAGTCTAATCATGACACAGGTGCTCTTAAACTGGCATCTTCTACTAATAAGGCAAGAGAAAGAGAGATTATGTACAAGAGTTAAAATAGGAAACAAAAATTTTTCTTAATTACATCAGCTTTTCTTCTCTTCCCATGTCCACTCACTAAAATGGAAAAGGGCCATGAGAGCCCATAAAACTTGGAAAAATACTTTGTTAATAAGTATTTAAAACTATTCATTGAATAAATGATTCTCTCCCAAAGCAAATAATATTGTTAATAACAATAATGCCACACCAATCAAAAGTTGAGTGGATTACATTACTAGTGTTTCACAAGCAGTGAGACCAAAAATATACGTGAACATCCCATTCTAAATAGATCCAAATAAGTAAGAAAAAAATTGCCAGAAATTATCATTGGAAAGAGGTTTTGTAGAGGTTATAGAGAAATCTTTATTTTGGTCTATGCTTTCATGTCTTCCTGTGTGGTCCCAAGAATTTGTAATTTAAATTGTCTCAATGAAAGTATTAAATTTAAACATTCATTTATGTATGAACAGACTCAGACAGTTCAAGTGACCTGCTCAAGGTCACATAGGTAATTATTAGTGAATTTAACAATGAAGCTTAAAGTTAAATATTATGGGACACCATGGGGGGAGACAAAGACAAGCAAAATTTCAACTCTAGCGCTTTAACTGCTTTTAGGTCTGGTTCTGTGTTTTTGTTTTGTTTTAGGGAAATAGGCATATATAAACATACAGCAGTATACTGTAGAAAGTGATAAGTTGTTTAAAAAAAAGAGGAATAGTTTGGGAATTCAGTGGAAGAGGGATGACTTTTGATCTGGAGCAGGAGCTAGTGAAGAGGAATAGTGAGGAGTAGCATTGGGAAATATGTTAGGAGGAGGTAATTTGACTCGGAACAAAGGATGATCAGGAATCCATACATAGAAAGAGGCAGTCAGTACCAGAAATGAAATCTATTAGCCAAGGTTCTTGAAAGTAAAACAGAAAAAGAAAAAAGAAAATAGTTCAATTTGGCTGCTGCATTGTCTTGGAGGAATGGAGTGGGAATTAAGTGTGGAGAAGTCATGAAAAGCCTTGAGTCCAGGATGATAGGGTTCTTGGAATAGAGTAGATAAGAAAGGGCCAAAGCTCTTGTACAGGGAAACAGCAGGATGAAAGGCATATTTTAAGGTGATTAAAGGGTGTAGAATAGTTCAGAATAAGGAGGAAAAACTGAAGAAGGTGAGCACAATAACAATAATTCAGGTGAAGTACAAGGAGAATAAGAACTAGGTAGGGATCCTGATAGAATAAGCAGATTTTAATTTGATGCTTCCAGTATTCTAACTACCTGATAGACAAAGACAAAACTTAGAGAATATATATGCATCTGGACAAGATCTCACTTCACCCCAGAAAAAGAAAGATGTACTAGAGCACATCTGGAATATAGTTGTTTGAAAAATGGTTGATAACAAGCAAACCAACCCAAAAAACATGTTTAACGATCTCAGAGATATGCAGTTTCTGTTAAATGGAGAATATTGGTGAAATGAAAAACACTTTTATAGAATAAACTTTTCTGGATGCATTTTGAGTGTCAGGAAGCTTGAAAACCATGTGCAACACAAATTATG